GCCCACAGGTTTAAGATCAGTCTGCGCAACTTGGCGAGACTTCATCTCTACAATAAATGAAAAAATTAGCTGGGCATGGTAGCATGTGTCTGTAGTTTTGGTTACTTGGATGGCTGAGGCGGATGGATTGCCAGAGTCCAGCAGGTCACCGCTGAGGTGGCTGTGAGTGTGCCACTGCACTCCAGCCTAGGTGACAGAGTGAGACTCCAACTCAGAAAAAAACATACCTCCAATTTTGGATACTAGATTCAGGTTTTCTGTCTTGGGGCTTCATGTCATCCTTTGTTTAGCTGCAACCCAGGGGTGTCTGCTCCTAACCTTTGTTCCTTATCTTGACTCTGTCTGTTCTCTTGTCTTAAGTATCATTCCCTGAGACTGGGACCCGTCTCCTTGCCTCTAGACCACTCCTAATGCCCAGACCCGGAGGTGCTCTAATTTAATTCTTAAGACGCTTTTTTTTTTTTTTTTGAGTTGGAATCTCACTCTGTCGCCTAGACTGGAGTGCAGTGGCCGCTTCCGGCACTGCAGACCACCTGCTGGGCTCCGGCGATCCTTCCACCTCAGCCTTCCAAGTAGCCGGAACTACAGGCGCGCGCTACCACGCCCGGCTAATTTTTTTTTATTGTAGAGATGAGGTTTTTTTAAAAACATTTTTAAAAAATGTAGCAAACAGCTGGGCCTTAGTAAATGGCAGCTACTATTATAAAAATTAAAAAATAAAGGAGAGAAAGATAAACAGAACAGGCTGGACAAATAGAGAAAATACTGACTATATCAGTAAAGTCATTAAATGCAATGGACTGCAGGGCACAGTGGCTCACACCTGTAATCCCAGCACTTTGGGAGGCTGAGGTGGTAGGACTGCTTGAGCCCAGGAGTTGGAGACCAACCTAGGCAACATAGCAAGACCTCATCTCTACAAAAAAATAAACAAATTTTAAAAAAGTAGCAGGGCATAGTGGTACATGTCTGTAGTCTCAGCTACTTTGGAAGGTGAGATGGGAGATTGAGCAACGATCATGCTACTTCACTCCAGTCTAGGCAACAGAGATTCCAATTTTTTAAGAAATGCAATGGACTAAATGCTTTAGTTAAAAGTCAGAACTGGCTGGGCTCGGTGGCTCAGCCAGTAATCCTAGCACTTTGGGAGGCCAAGGTAAGTGGATTGCCTGAGCCTGCAGGTTCAAGATCAACCTGGGCAACTTGGCGAGACCTCATCTCTACAATAAATCAAAAATTAGTCGGGTATGGTAGCAAGCACTTGTAGTTCCAGCTACTTCGAAGGCTGAGGCGGAAGAATTGCCGGAGCCCAGGAGGTTGATGCTGGGGTGGCCATGAGAATGCCACTGCACTCCAGCCTGGGCAACAGAGTGAGATGTCCAACTCAAAAAAAAAAAAGTCAAAGGTATTCATACAGAATTTCTAAAAATTCAATTATTTGCTTTTACAAACCTCATCCTTTCTTACCAAGTTATAGGAAAAGAGGAAGAGAATCAATACTTACTGAGTGCTTACTATAAGCCAAGTATGTGCCTAGACCTTTGCAAATTCTATTACCTTATTTGACCTTCACAACCACCTTATAAAATACATAGACAAGAACTGGGGCACAAAATAGTTAAATTATTTGTGCAAGATCTTTTTTTAAAATTTTTAAAAAAATTTATTTTTTCATGAGTTGGAGTCTCACTCTGTTACCCAGGCTACATGCAATGGCACACTCACAGCCACAGCAGCCTCAACTTGCTGGGCTCAAGTGATCCCTCTGCCTCAGTATTTCCAGTAGCTGGAACCACAGGTATGCACCACCATGCCCGGCTAATTTTTTGATTTATTATAGAGATGAGGTCTCATCAAGATGCCCAGGCTAGTCTTGAACCCCCGGACTCAGGCAATCCTCTCACCTCTGCCTCCCAAAGTGCTGGGATTACAGGCTTGAGCCTCCGTGCCTGGCTTGTGTAAGATCTTAAAAAGCAGCAGATCTAGGGCTTGAATTTAGCTTTGTTTGACTCCAATTCTGCTGCTCTTTTCAACGTACCATATAAGAAATCTAGAATCACTGGGCTCGGTGGCTCAGCCTGTAATCCCGCGCCTTTGGGAGGCTGAGGTGAGTGGATTGCCTGAGCCCACGGGCTCGA